TTTCTCTCACTAAAGGAAATGTGTAACTTGAGTGAGATATTATTTTAGACACTTTATTCTAGACATATTAAATTTGCAGTTTTGAGTTGGAATTGATTTTATTTTCATTAGTTTGTGCTCAGGTAAGAGTTGCTCCATAAGCAATTAGAAACTGTTTCTGTACCTATTTATTTGTTTATTTATTTATTGTCTGTATAAAAGCAAGATTGAGTATATATCATGAGGTTGGGCAAAGACTCTATTATGACTGTATAACATAGGTAGGATCAATTTGAGCAGGTATAATATACTGAACTTTCCAAATATCAATTCTTGATTGTCTCAGAGATTCGTTGTGAGACATTAAGCAAATCACTTTAGTTGTTCTCTGTGAAAATTAATGTGCTGTCCTTGAATACAAAGATGAAGGTTCTGACACATACTCAGTAAAGCATTATCTTTTGTGTAATGTTGATAGACTTGTTCTCAGCCAAATACAATTTCCCTGAGGTCATTCAACAGCTCATGTTTGCTAAGTTTAAGGGTGCAGTTCATGGCCACCAGAGCTAAAAAGGAATTAAACCCATCAATTTTACCTCATTAGCATACTGCTGAACCAAATGAGCCAACGAGTCAGTTATTGCCGAGAAAGAAAAAAGAGAGACCAAATAAACATGTATGTGGCCCTGAGATTGGCTAGAAAATACATCAGTTTATTATATGAGAAAATGAGGGCTGTGCCAGGGCTCACCTTGAATAACTTTCTGCCTCCTCTCCTTCAAAAAAGATGAAATTTTTTCCTAAGATCATGCCCCAGAGTGAAGAAGCTAGCTTTTCTCCACTAGCTTCTCTGCAATATTTTACGTTCATAGTGTCCAGTAAAAAACTTTTGAAGCACACCATTAATATTTACCAAGGTGTAACAATGTCTTGGGGGTAAAAAATTAATAATTACCTCAACTGTATATAAATAAAGTTTAATGAATTCATGTGATGAACTTTTTTTTCCAGCTCTTTTGTTTTTCCTAACTTTTAAGAGATCCCTCCTCTATTCAGTGTGAGCTGGGTAATCCAATCTCCTAGGTTCAAGACTCTGCTTTGGAATGTCTAACTGCGTGACTTTGGGCAAATCACTTACCTCTATAGTTTCCAGTCTCCTCATTTATCAAATGAGGATAATAATACCAACTTTCACATAGGTATATTATGGGAACTAAATGAGCTAATTCATAAAAAGGATTTAGAAGAGGATCTGGCACATAGTAAGTACTTCATAAATGTGAATTCCCATCCCCTGTG